ACTATATTATCTATATTATCACTATTTTTCTAAACACAATTCTTTGTTAAAGGGGCGTAGGGATTCCACTGTTTGGTAGAAGGATTATTTGGGAATTTCACTAGGTCTCAAATTTTCCTCCCATGCTTGACTGGATGGCTTTTATTTAGCCACTTAACTTTGTTGTGGCCTGCGGAGACTGGTGACCTTCTTAAAAGGCCGATGAAGTCAGTGCAGTATATCTAGAAAAATCACATCCAAATACTACTTATGAAAGAAAAAAACCCCATATTTACAAATTCACAGCTCCACTCCATCCAATTCCACTCTATTATTATATCAAAATTATGAAAAGAAAAAAGAAAAAAAAAAAAGAAGAAAGTTTGATTTAAAAAATATTATCATTAGGTGAGGAGTTTGAATCCTTACCATTTTTTTAATCCACCAAGTGTCTAAAAGATAAATCATGCATTTGGTTAAGTGAAAAAAAGAAATAAAAGAGATTTTTTTCTACTCATTTTCCTCAAACTGAACAAATTTTAACATTCTTTGTCGGAAACAAATGGTAATCCTCAGGCCAAATCTAAATCATTTCGCATCAACCAGTACTTGCTACGCGGAGAACATGCAAGGTACTAAAATAGTGCATTGTCCTTTGTGGGGTCAATCAAAAGAAGATGATAGCTTACTGGAAACTACACTTAAGAAACAGCAAATTGCATTTCATACTCATAAGCTTCTCAAACAAGTACAAAACCAACATGACTAAAGTCCCACAAATATAGCCCTTTTGAAAGTAACAAAACACACTGAATCACAAGGATTGCTTGTCTTATTTCTCTAACATACATTCTTAGGCTTTATTAACTTACAACCTAAACAGTACCGTTCAGTTGGCCGTTGGTGGTTTGTGTTTTGGTGGTGGCTTGTGTTTTGGTGGCTTGCCATGCACATCAAGGGTTGCCGTGTCCTCCTCCAGGGAAGGTGGCTTGTGTTTTGGTGGTTTAGCATCAACAGTTACTGAGTCCTCCTCTGCAGTAGGCGGCTTGTGTTTTGGAGGTGGTTTGTGTTTCGGTGGTTTGCCATCAACAGTTACCAAGTCCTCCTCTGCAGAAGGTGGCTTGTGTTTGGGTGGTGGCTTGTACTTTGGTGGCTTGCCACCATCCAAGGTTACTGAGTCCTCTTCAGCAGAAGGTGGCTTGTGTTTTGGTGGTGGCTTGTGGGGAGGTTTATGGCGGTCAGCAGAGGATGGTGTGGTGAAGAACACCACTCCAAGGAGAAGCAGAGCCAAGAGGAATGCTTTGGTAGACATTTTCAGAGGTGATGGTGTAAAACTAGAACTGAGTCAGTATTTATAATGAATCATGACCTATTATTGCATGACAAATGTCAGTCTTTGACAAGTGTCAGTCTATCTGTAGCAAGCCAATCACTCAGCAGTAGTCTAAATTCACTACACTCTATGTGTAGGCTACACTGTGACAGTGGCTAGACAAATATATGGAACCCACAGAGCAGATATTTTGGACCAAGTGGCCATAAAACCCCATCTGGGGAAGGTAATTGATGAGCCATAATCATTAAACATATTAAAATTTCATGCTTGAAGGAGTTTCGTCAAAATGTAATTCCATTGTTATCTGGAAATTAGCTATGTATGCCTTCTTGTGAAGTGGGGAAAAAGAAGTAAGGAGGTCTCTAGTGAGCATGATTTGACCAGAACCTCCTATGGTCAAGTTAGGGAAGTTTTCCCAGGGTCCTGAAAACATTTCCTAACTCGGATGCCTTTGCAACTTGGTGTTTAAGGTTGTCTGATCATGCTTCAAAGGACGCATATCCTATACAAACTCCTTATAATGTAGTCACATGTCTCCATATCAAATTCCTCACAAATTATTTGGTTTTGATACGTAGGGGAAAAGATTAAGCAAAATGGTATACTTTATTAAGTGTAAGATATACAAGGGTATAGATTAATTTTATAATATGAAGTGGCCACAGAAGAACAAACCAAAATCTATTTTGATAAACATAGGAACAGTGGTGATTTCATCATCTTTCTGATGATCAGAGGCAAAACAGGCCAGTCCTTTCCTAAAGATTTTCTCCATCGGTTTATCTCCAACCAAGTTGACATATCATGAAACTTCCCTGTCTGATGGCTAAGATCAAGAATGTTAACCACGACTTTTTTCCATCTCTCACCTAAGATGTTGACATTTTAGGTAATAAGGCACAATATGATATCTTTCATTCAAATGTATATTAAATTATTCTATCATCTCAATGATAAACAAGAAACAGAGAACTCAACAATTTTAAAGAGATCTCCTCATTGGAAGTCATTGGTTTGATTAATGCTGTGTGCTGGAAACTTTCACTAAAGGTGGCATAAACTATGGTATCTTAGCTTGTTTTAAATTTGCCTTTTCTCTATGCAACTTGGTATAACTCTCCAACCCCTTGTTCAGCTCAAACCATTGGCACATCACCTAGTGGCAGTATCTGAGCTGCTTGTATAAAGCCTACTTCCAATTTAGACAACCTAGACTTGCTCCAGTGATGATCATAAATTAAATAACATGAAAATCTAATCTATTCTAACCTTTAACTCCACTTGTGCCTAGAAAAACATAGACATAGAATGAAAGATGCAATAAGGGAATGGTGATCTTATAAAGTAAAACAAAGTATATATAAATACCACTTGACTAAATTTTATTTTTCATCTACTAATTATTACTCTCTTTTTATTTTAGTCTAGAAAGTTTAGTTTCTTTTAAAATCATCTATAAACTTTCAAAATTATTTCAAATTCATCTACCTAACAAACTTCCATTAGTGTTTTTTACGGAATCCTATGAGATGCCTATGTGGCACCAATTATGTGATATATGCAGTTTTGAAAAATTATACTTTAATCCCAAAAACTTCACAAAATTTTGGATTAAATTTATATTCAAACCATTCCACAATACAATTTATTAACAAAGTTCTTAAATGGACTAAATTATAATTAATCAAAACTAATGATAAATAATTAAGATTGTTAGCTTAATTTTTTAATTAATTAAGATTATAATATTATTTTTATCAAATTAAAATTTAAAGTTAATATCATGTTATTTAAAATATTAAAAAGTGAATCTTAT